CAGGGGGTTCGAACCCCCCCCCCATCCTGGAGTTTCGTGAGATTCCCAATTCTGATGAAACAGTTTCACATGGCCTCTCATGGTTTGTATCCAAATTTGCTTTTAATTAACAGCCGAAAACTCTATGAAGCCTTCCAAAGCCCCTCACATTACCAGCAACATTAAAACTGATTTTGATTACATAGCTTCAGTGTGGTTAAGAGATCGCGAGCTGCCAAACAAGAGCAAACTCATGAGGGAAACTACTCACAAAGTTACTGAAAACTCTTCGACAGCCCACGACCGGTTTCGCCCTTCTGTTTCGGGCTCAGCAGTTAGGCGCAGTCCCTGAGTTTCTGTCAACCTTATGATCTACTTGAACCCAAATTGGACTGTTTTCGAGAAATACACTCATTTGCAAATCAATTTGGTTTTCACGAGAGACTCAACTGAATCTCTCATTTATGATATTCTACAACTGAATGTGCTGCACACAGGCTGCCTCGTGATATTCGAGATATCGCAGTATATTTTCATAAGGGAAACTACTCACAAGGTTGGTGAAAACTCTTCGACAGCTTACGTAACAAAGAAGTGAAATGGTCAGAAAGCACGCTCATTCTACACAATGAGTTAAAATTCTGTACGGTGTTATCCGCATGGAAGACCCCCGCGGAGAGTAGGCGATATTATTCTCTACCATTTCACCATTGCACCATCTGCTTTACAGTGCTGTTTACATTCTTTTCGTGACCCCCCAAAACAATGGTTAAGAACCACGGACATTTTGAGTCAAAAGCTTCAAAGATCTGCAGAGTGTGCTAGGTATGGCACTCACCAGGATGTGATGAAGTTTACAACATCACAGGTGGACGGTCGATTAGAAATCAACAAATTTATTGAAGCAAATCAGAGCTTTCATCCTAAGAACTACTTGGACACTGTTTCTTGCCAAACAGATGTATTGTCATGGCGCTGCAAACCTGGTAATTCTTTGTTGTCTAGGCCCGATTCTAATAGGTAATGCAATTGTACATGTGATGACACGTTACATCTTAGAAAAAAAAAGCAAATTCGTATCCAGGTCCACTTGATAAAACAAGACTGGTCATTTACGGTACGATTGTTTACACCATGTCGATGATTGGCATCCGGTCAGCGGTGTTCGGACCAGTGGATGTGTAACAGATAGTTCAAACAACAACAATCGTTCAGCTGTAGCACTCTTTCGGTGCCTAACTGCTACGCCACCCGAAGGAAGCACGAGGGCTGGGATACTGTCAGGTTGCCCAAGCCAAGACCGGAGAAGTCGAGAGGCAGAGGTCGGGTTCGAACCACGGACCTTCCGGTCAGTAAATTCGCGCTCTAACCACTTGGGCCATCTCGCCCCAACAGGTAGTTCACATGGAACCGAATGATGGCTTTCCATACAAGCCGACATCAACCGTCAAGCCCTCCACTTTCGAACGGTTTGTCTGTTTTGCAGCACTGGGACTCCTCGCCCTTCAAAGCCTGCGTAAACAGCTCTTTTTTAATCCTGTCTGTCGATCAGCAGCCATAACTTGCAGCGTATACAACCAGGCGCATTCGGAATCACGCGGTCGCCATGCTGGTAGGCGAGTAGCACGGACAATACTCAAATGTCTCGTGATCTCTCCTATAGTCCTCTGCCGGGCCAAGGATTTTCCACCAATCTGTTTACGCCACTTTAAATTGAGCACGGTAAACAGCACTCTCTTTGGCAAACGATGGTTCGCCATGCGCAGTACATGGTCTAATCAACGCACCTTCTGGTGCTGGACACATTCTTCAATGGAAGTACTCGTTACACAACCGAAAACTCGCTTTCTGTTTATCTCATTACGGATTCGCCGACACCAACCCACATGAGCTATAGTTCTGAGACAACGATTGTCGAACACCTGAAAACTTCTCAGTTCCGCTGCTCGAATAGGCCAAGTCTCACAGCCATACAACAAAACAGCCCGTACTGTAGCTTGATACACACGTCCCTTCAAATTGAGGGATAAACCATTCTGACGCCATAGGTGTCTCAAGTTAGCAAACGCGGCCCGAGCCTTGCAGATTCGTGCATTCACCTCATCTGTCACACTGCAATCAGAACTAATACAACTTCCAAGGTACGTAAAACGCTCCACAACTTCCAGTACCTCTCCCTGGATTGTAAGGGGCGTGTTCAGTGACTGCACGTCCACAAGCATGACCTTACACTTTGTGGGTGCAAAATGCATACCAAAGGACGGGATGACTTTGGTCAGTTCATCCAAGAATACTTGCGCCTTCTCCTCCTCTTCGAACATGAGAACGATGTCGTCTGCATATTCCAGATCGACAAGGTTTTCTTCACTGGCTATTTGAACACCAGGGTTTTGGAGACCCTCCAGCGTTCGTCTCATTATTTCATCGATCACAAAGTTAAAAAGGAATGGAGAGAGTGGGCATCCCTGACGGACACCGCTTTGTGTGCGGAAGCTTTTGGAGAGCTCTCCGTACACTCTCACACGTCCGGAAGTCTGAGAATACAAAGAACGTATTATGTTTACAAACTTCCGGGGCATTCCTTGGTGGGCAAGCGTCTCAAGAAGAACAGACCGATCAACCGAGTCGAATGCGCCTCGGAAATCCAGGAATACTAGAATTGTGGGTCGCTTGTACGTATGGCGTTGTTCTAGTACCTGACGCAGTGTGAAGATTTGGTCAACGCAACTCCTACCAGACCGGAATCCGGCTTGCTACGTCTAAGCCAGTTTTTAACAAGTCACCAAGATACGACGAAGCACACGTGACGCCAACGTGGTAAAGTTGCCCCCCCCCATGTGGTTACCACACTCACTATGAGCCCGTTTTTCTGAAAATTGGCACTATCACCGACTTTCTCTCTCTATCCCAAATGCAGGCAAACAGATCAGACAAGCCCTGATTGAAAACTTCACCCCATCTTTGAACAACGCAGGTGGGAGATGATCCGGACCAGAAGCTCGATGGCGCTTGAGAGAACATATGCAGTAATACACTTTTGAGGCCACAAGGGGTTCCACGTCCATCGTCCAGGGTTCCACGTCAACTGTGAGCTCCAGATGAGAGGCTATTGGTGGCCACCGCAATTGCTGTTCGAAGTATTCGGCCCACCGGTCGTGGCATTCTTCTTTGTTCAAGGTGGTCGCTCCAGTCTGATCCTTGATGGTTTACAAGTCAAGTGGATTCCGGGGACTAGTCAACTGAAATAATCTCCAAACGTCATCGGCTTTCTGAGCCTCTCCCATTTCCCTAACCGGTCGGCTTGCACAAGTGGATTCCGGGGACTAGTCAACTGAAATAATCTCCAAAAATCATCGGCTTTCTGAGCCTCTCCCATTTCCCTAACCTTCATGGTCGGCTTGCACGCTCACTTTCACTTGACGTCTGATGATTCAGCGGGTTAAATTATGTTCGGGACCGGTGGGAATTTTAGCAGTCCTACTGTTCTCTCTGATATCCAGGGCTTGAAGGGGACTGGCAGCGCCATGCCGCCGGCGAGACTCTCAAAATAGTTTAAGGATGCGGTTATCTCGTTTCAGCATGGAATCACATCTCCTGATAGAGCATTTGGAAGAGACTCCAAAATACGATTCTGAGCTGCCCGTCTCTCGGTTTCCAAGTCATCTGTCCACACCTCAAGCGGTCCTGGAAAACAAGGGAGAGGCGAGTCCGAGCGAGCGCATGTGGCGGAATCCATGTGTGTTCCAAAACTAGTGGTAACCAGTTACTGGTCCGAGTCATCGGTGACTTATGGTGATCCGACCAATTTGAGTTTTTGGCCGGTACGCTGTTAGAGGACAACTTCTAGCCAGGGGAATTCGGCCAGCTAGGAAGTAAGTACCGCATTAAAGCAGCCGTTTCCGTACGTACCGGGTCCAACCCATGTCGACCACCCAATCTTGTCTCAGATGCGCAAAGCCTGCACACTTGCGTATTCATATGTCCGGCAGCCACAACGATATGTGAGCTTGTAGCTCGCCGCAACAGAGCGTTCAGGGCGTCATAAACCTTGTCAGAGCTGCAGTCGGTTGTAGCGTAAGCAGACACAACAAACAGACAACGCTGAACTTCATGCCTGTGGAACTACTTTACAGACGCTGCCAGGTGAACCTCACAGAGGCGACCAGTAACAGATATCCAGTCAAGTCTGGATATCAAGTCTGCTTCTGTCTGATGACTTAGGATGATACCAATCTCCTGAACATCCCGCCGTCGCCAGAGGTGCGTAGCCAGAATCGAGTGGAGAGTGATGGGGCAGTTAGCTCAACTACTGTGTTTGCATCTTGAATTCTTGTTTCTGAGAAACAGCACTCACCAATTCCAAGCGAATTCGGTGTGAGAGCAAGAGCATTTGTTGTCCTGCTTGCTTCAGAGTGCGGACATTGAAGGCGGCTAGATAAACTAAATGTCGAGGCCTGTAAATTGATTTGGAGATGCCTGACGATGTTGGTGCCATGTGACGAGCAGATGGTGCTGGCAAAACCGATGCATGACGAATGGTGCCTACGAAGAGAGGGTTATCCGTGAGGTGGGAAGAGGGGAAGAAAAAGTACGTAAAACAGAAAGAAGGGAGGCGTCAGCAGCAGCCTGTTTTTGCTCACCCGCCCTGCTGTACGCAACAACTAAGGTGACTCGGCTGAAGGCACGCCTACGACACGTGGCGTGAGATTACTTGTAAGTGTGCAATTCATGGTTGTACATGGACTAGGATACTGCTAGCGTGCCCAAACCTAGACAGTAGGCTAATTAGAGATCCCATCCAAAACCTTTGTCCCAAAAGTCTGACAACAAAACAGTGATGTTTGGCGGGAAATTCAAGTGCATTACTATTTCCACAGAACAAGTCGCCATAAATGTTCGGACCCTCAACCTGAAGGGCTGTGAGACTGTTTTGATCAATTATCTAGCCACTGACCACTCTGTGAGTCTCATTATATCTCAACGGAACACGGAGACACATAAGCCTTCATAACACGGAAAGGTCTAGTCACCTCGTGGAATGTATATTAGATTGGTCCCCATATGGTGGGAAGAAATCGCTGTTGAAGCCCAGTTTGGTTTTTGAACACTTTTATTCATCACGTGGATGAATAACAAGTGTTCATTGGACAACACTTGACGACAATCGTTGTCCCAGAACCATAGCTTGTGTGGGCTGGTGTCGGCGAATCCGTAACGAGGCAGTTAGAAGGCGAGTTTTCGGTTGTGCGCCAGAAGCTGCGTTGGTTGGGACATGTGTTGCGTATGCCGAACCAACGTTTGCCGAAAAGAGTGCTGTTTTCCATGCCCAATTCGGAGTGGCGTAAACGGAGAGGTGGCCAGCCCTTGACTTGGCAGGGGAGTATGAAGGAGATCACGAAACGCTTGGGTGCTGCAGGTATTACTCGACTTCCAGGATGAAGACCGCGTGATCCTCACTGTGCCTGGTTGGAGATACTACAAGATATGGCTGCCAACCGATGTCAGTGGCGTTCTTGTTG